GGTTTTTTTAACACCTTTCAAAAGCGTTCGTAAAGCCATTTTAACAATATTTTGGTGGAACAGCCTGTTATAGTCTACAATAAGGGTAGGATAAACAATTTCCGACTCTTTAGCCTATACTGCGGGGCCGATAGATTGAAAACTTAGAAGACTGGGATTGTAACCTTCTCTGTACGTGATAAGGTTGCCATGTTCTCTGTTCTTGACCTATAAAACAAACGTAATTTTATAAGGTGTCACCCTTAGCAGTGTTCAGAAGTGTTACCCTTAGCAGTGTCAGAATTAGCACACAGCGGTGGCCCAGCATAACAAGCTATTTACTTCTGCATGCAAGAACGCAAAAAATTTGAGCTGTTATTGGCTTTGAAGGAAACATATGTGCATTAAACAGTTACTAGCACATCCGTGTTTTCGAAATAATTCTTCCAGTACGGACGAATTTTTCGTTGTCCGCCAATGTCCCAGACATTCAGTTTTACGTCGTCCGACACCACACTTTTGATATTAAAACCCTGAAAGAGTTCACCTGCGTGTCGTACAAAACGAAACCAAGATGGGACACCTGGGGACACATGTTCGCCTCTGCTTGTAACATACAGGTCCCTCCCCTCGCAAACAGCAGTGGCGTGTATTCTCACTCCTAACACGCAGTAGCTGCTTGCTTTTTGGACTATATTCTTAAAAATAATGTGCGATGCCTCGAGTAAAATTTAATCCATCTGTTTTTAATCCTTGCATTCGGCGCATCCCAAATCCGTTTCCGTCGTGCGTTTTCTTCGGAACCACCAGTCACAGGGAAGCGACTGCTAGCCTTCGTTGCTACTAAATAGAGCCGTTTCGTTCGCTAACACTGAATTTGCCGAAATGCTTCTGATTTGTTCTCTTCATCCACGTCCAACATTGAAATCGTTCATCACGATTGCTCAGGCAGATCTAATAAGGGAAGTTTATTGAAGTTTTGCATAGAACTTCTCATCCTCTTGCTGAACTGAGTACAGGCATAAACCTGAACATTTTAAAATCTGACCAAAACGCGTATCGATTTAGGACGAGCAAAACTGAGTATAATTTGGCGAAGGCTCTCCCTTGTTAGGGATGAGGTTAATTCGAAAAACCGCTATAGTACCTCTCATATCAATCTAAGCTCCAGCGTTCGATGCGGTCTGGACATGCGCTTGAGCCGAATTTTATCTTAGTGTTTTCTGGGAAAGTCCACTCAACTCACTCCCTGTTAGCCAGCTACAGTTGCATGCACATTTCGCAAGGTCCGATCTGTTCCGTGCTGGAATTGTTTCATTTAAAATTCTTTGCTCTCTCGCCCCCGACTGTCACTCAAATGCTATTGTATCAAAAAAATTATCATCAATCATCATGTCATAACAAGGTTCCTCGATTTCTCGATAAGAGCTATGACTGCGTTGAGATGTGGCCGTATACTAAGAGCCACTGGAGATAGTGGAGCGCGACCAAACTACTCCTTGGCAAGAAATGCTGCAAGAAGTTCTCGAAGGTGCAAATGACGTGCGAGAGTGCGACACACGTGAGGGCATCGTACGCACTAACTGAAAACATGTAGGGGTTTGCAACCTGCGTGGGCGTAATGTGTGTTATGTCTTCAGATGCCAAATTTTTCAATATTGTCGTTTTACCCGCGTTATCCAAACCTGAAACAAATTTGGAAATAAAAGTGTTCCAGCTTTGCAACAAGTACAAGAAAAAAAAAGAAAGTTGAAAAGAGCGTCACGTTCGACATTTATCCCACAGGAAATCGCTCTACGGTTATTATAGGTCTCTGGCAATACCAAATTAGACTTTTCAGTGAGAAATTAAGCGCACAAATTTTTAAAAGTGGCTTCGTGGTAAAAAATTTAAGATTATCCCTCGTTTTCTCGGGATGTAATTTGCTTCTCTAAAGCTATTGTGTCCTGTGATTGCTAAAAAAAAAGTTAATAAACACGTAGCACGTAGCCAAAAAGCGACAGAAATACAAGAGAGCGAGCAGAAGACATAATTGTTGGATCAAAATTGTATTACACAACACTAATGCACCCGAACGGTGCAAAGAATGCCCGCCGTCATTCAGAAGCTTCCTTTTGACTATGATTGAGAACTTCTGGTGGGTTATTGCAATACTCTTGTGCAAATACCCTCCTTACAGCTAATAAAATCAAGCATCGGCACCTATAACTCATTCTGAAACGTTCTATCATAACCGGGATCCGCCCTGCATTAAACATACAACTGAAATTTTTGTCCCGCTGTGATTTGGTTTTATTAGCATTGCTGGGATCAGAATTTAAGAGAAGGCGTGAAAACAGTTGTATTATAAGAGCTTATTTTTTCTAATAAAAGCACGTAAAGAAATGGGCTCCCATAATGCTTTTTAAAAATTTGATTTTCGGGAAAAACGAAAAAAGGCAAAGTTAATTACCAAGTAATAATATCCTGAGTTCTTTTCCTGGCTGGCTTTTGAATTTTTTAATCAAACCAAGTAAACCCTGCAAAAAATATTATTGTTAATATAGCAAAAAATATTATTGTTAATATAGCAAACTAATACAAACCTGAATGATGCTTAAAATGGCATCACCAGGTGATCGGAAAGCAAGCCAAAAATGGTGTTTTTCTGAGGTTTAACATTAGTTTTTCCTAAATAATAG